CACACACACACACACACACACACACACACACACACACACACACACAAAAGAAATTAAAATTCAAAATTCAGCATCTCAGTTGTCACTTTTCTGTTTAAATTTCTCTAATTATATTTTTAATACTTCGTCCCTGTGCCTACAATTATACGTCGATTACTATAACTTCGAGCTGAAATCGCTGCTTTCTATACTTTCAGTCTTAATTGAACAGCAAAAGCTATAATCACTTTCATCACGTTTAGATATTCTCATAATGTTGATGCAACCGCGTGCTAAGGAATTGTAACACTGTTCACTGATTAATTCAGTAGCGAAAATGATTTTTTTTCTTTACTTTCACGTTGAAAGAGTTTACGACTTTTTTCATTTACCTCTGCTATAAATTTTATCTTAATACATCGACACTTAAATTAATTAATGATAAAATAAAACAAATTTCGTGGAAAGTATTGATTAAAGAATATTTTAGAATAATTAAAACAAGATAAATTTTATCTATTAAGAAATATTCAACAATGTGAATAATAGCATCTGATGGATCTAATATTTCTCTTCAGAAAGAATACATAAGATTCGCACGGACAATGAAAAAAATTCATATTAATCGAGAACGAATTAATTATCAAACGAGTATTATTATTGAAAAATAATACCACCAATTAAGATGATGTTTTTTTTTTAAAACTGTCCTTTACAGTTGAAATGTCAAAGAATGAAATGTGAATTGACGGGATGCGGATTTCTAGTGAAACGTCGCGTTAATGAGTTGTTCCAACGACAATGAATGATCAGCAAAGATTCACGAGAACATAAATTATCGAGCAACAAACTTTCCCAGATGCCGAGGCTCGAGGAGAAAATTACATCTACAGAACTACTGCGTTCACGTCGAGGATCCTTCCGGTAGATCGACCGAGAGCGCGACCTCGATCAGAGATCGTTGGTCCATCTTGATCACTCCGGACGATCCGTCGTCAACCATCAATCGTCAAAGAACGAAAGTAATGGAAACTTCGTGAAATCTTTTTTTGTCGAAGGCATCGCACTGAACAACACACGAAAAGCATCACGGTGATTCGACGATCGATGATTCTCGAGGATTCCACGATTCACCTACCTTGCATCGTAGCATGGTTGCACCCGCGCGAATTGCTGCCAGCACTATACACAAAATTGAACGACGGATTATTTCTTCTTTTTTTTTTTTTTGCTTTTGTTCCTTTTTCGACACACCGAAAAGAAAAAAGAAAGAGTGAAAGCCCGCGCGCGACGTAACCTCGGTTTCAATCGAACGCGATTCTATCGTGCCGCGACGTGAACACCATCCTGACACTCTTCAACCGGTAGTCAACCTCTTTGACGGAGGAGACTCCCGCGACTCCGTCACTACTAACACAAAAAATGCTCGCTCTCGTATGAACACTCCGCTTATATAGACTCTGAGAGAGGGGTACTAGTTGCTGGAATTCTCTCTGCTCAGCTTGTCGAGTAAATCGAGGAAACGACAAACCAGAGATAGAGAGAGAGAGAGAGAGAACGAGGAGTAATGAACAGCGACGGTGAAGACTCCAGGGGGGAGTAACAGAGAGAGAGAGAGAAAGGGAGGAGAGAGGCAGGAAGAGAATCGCGGTGATGTTCAGGACGTGAAGACAAGGAGAGGGAACCCCCTCACACGTCGCTTAAAAATTCTCTTTGTAGAGAAAGTAGGCTAGCCCTGTCTCCGACATGGCGAAGAAAGATGCGCTCGCAAGTATTGGACCGATGATGCTTATCGCTCTCATGCGAATACGTAAAATTATATCGCCGAACTTTCTCGTCCTCTTCGAGTTTGCCTCTCCGCCTGATGTATCAGTGGAATTGAACAGCTGAGAAATTTAAATGTCACCGTGCGAGAAAATTTTGAACAGACGTGGTATTCGAATGGATGGGAATTCATTACGACAGAATTCCAAGTGTTTGTCAAGGTTACTGCGATTTAATATTTTGCTATAGGTGATGGAGATAGACTGGAAGGAGTTAAATGTCTAGATTGTTAGAATGTTTGAATTGTTGCCTTTATTACATACGTTGAAGACAACATTTCCTGCCTCATAAGATAAAATTTGTATCGATTTACCGAATGGAAGAGTTAAAATTCTTTTAGTATAAAAGATTGAAAAATTTTATTAATTTAGGAATATTAGGAATGTTAAGTTAGAAATATTAAAAGAATATCAAATACTTGTATGTATGTTATTTGAAATGAATTACAAAGTAGATACTTTAAAATATCTAAAGTATGTATATATGT